TACACAGTGACCGGGCTGATGGAAGCAACTCAGATGATGGTGGACATTGATGGAGATGTCCTTGTGTTCCTAGAACTGGCTCAGGTATGACGGCTGGGGAAGGGATCTCTCCAACATTCTTGACTCTGGGCTCTGTATGCTCATTGGCAGCGAATGGGGAAGCCTGGGAGGCGGAGGGCAGGAAGGGAGCCCATTTTTAGACTTGGTTCCCTGATTCGGCAGAGCCCGTCTCATCCTTCCTGCCAGAGGATACATGCCGAGAGGAGAGGCTGGCCATGGCGGGGAGGGACTGAGGCATCGTGCAACCATAAGGCAGGGGAAGGAAGCCCAGTCTCGCGTGTAGACATGGTTTCAGCCTGCCTTCGGTCATTGAGGACCCTTCCTCTAATATTAGCTGCCCACCTCCTCATCCCCAAGCAAACAAGCGAAATCTCCCACTTCGGCCCTCTGAGTGTAGGAATTCTACCACCAGAAGTTAGTTGATGAAGTTGGAGTTGCGGCTCTGAGGCATTTAGACGCAGCTGGGAAGGTCAGCTCTCTAAGCCTGGGTGTCTACACCTTAATGCAGACTGCTTTGGTCCCTGACGGGAGAAGGGGGGGGCATCTCTGCGGTGGGATCTAAGGAGGACAGACACGGTAGGAAGGCACCACACACAGCTGTGGATGTCCTGGATGCTGGGGGCAGGACAGAGGTGACGTGATGGTGGTGGTGGTGCCAAAGAGCAAAGTAAATGTTTTCTTACACTTTTGCGTGGGTTTGCCTCTCGAGATGGGCCCTTTACAACTGCAGGGCCATTGCCTGTCTACACCAAATATGTGGCTCTGAAGACAGCACTAGGTGTCTGTGCAGACCCTGCCCTGGGGTTCCAGCACAGATGCTCTCCTGTTTGTCCCCAGTTCCACTGTGCGTACCAGTTGGCCGACTGGTGTCTTCACCACATCTGCACCAATTACAACAACGTGTGCCGCAAGTTCCCGCGAGACATGAAGGCCATGTCCCCAGGTGAGCATCTCCCGCAGGACCTTTGCTCCACCCGTCTGCTGAAGGGGCTTCAACCTGGGTCCAGATCTCTGACTCGACCTGAGGGCATCGGATGGCTGCCCAAGATCCTTGGGCTGAACTTGACCTTGCGGGTGGGGAGCAGCCTGCAAAGGTGTATCCAGCCAAGCAGAGGGAAGCCCAGGCAAAGGGCAGGGCAGCTGGGGACATCGAGCGATTCACTTAACTTCTCTGGGCTTCTATTTCTCACGAGTACAAAGAGGGTGTTGGACTTTTGGTGTTTTTCAGACTTGGGTTTTTTTGTGTGTTTTTTAGTTGTTTTGGTATTTTGGTATTTCAGACTTGATTTTTTTTTTTTCCAGAGTTGGTATTTTTCAGAAAAGACTCCACAATAAGAAATGCATTTTATGTTGGGAGCTGGTACACATATAAAAAACTATACAAATTGTTTTTAAATGCTGCTCATGACCCACCACGTTGATTTCACAACCTAGAAAGGGCACAGCTTGGACAACACAGGTCCTGGTATCCTCTGAGGTCCCTGCGGTCCTACCTCTGCTTAATGAATGTCTCGAAGTCCTGGCGCCCGAAAGGAATTGCCCGAGCGCCGGGGAGAGATGTTTTGGCCTCCCCGGGTTCCCGCCAGCCATTTCTTCAGGTCTCCACTGGGCGCCCTCCACGCTGTGGTGCCCTCCTCCCTGCTGCCAGGCTGTCCCTGCACCCTCCCGTCCTCCTACCCTTGGTCTCTCCTTTGCACCCTTGTGGCATTTTCTGTGTAGGGCACAGCTCCAGCCACATCACTGCCCTGGTCTAAACCTTGCATGCCCCCTCACGCCTTCCAGGATCAGTCCGAACCCCTCAGCCTAGCCTTTCCTTTAAAGGCTGACCCTCTTTGTACTCCTGCAGCCCTCCCTCCCGATGCTTCCCTCAGAACCCAGCTCCACCAACTACCTGTGCCATGCCCAGCACCCTGCTGCCCTCCTCCCTCCTCGTGCTCCATCCCAGCCTGGTTCATTGCCAGGGCATGTGAAGCCCATCTGGGTGTGCCCTCTGCCTTTAAAGTGCAGCATAGCGGAAGGACCTTTTCCCAACGCTGTCGGCCCCACTGCTGGCATTGACTTTCTTCAGGAAGCCCCGCACCTGCTCCGGGGGCTCTGAAGGCAGGGCTGATTACCCGGATGGGGGCCGCTGCAAGTCCCCATGGCAGTGTGGGGGCCGCCGCGGGCATCCCTTGGACACCCTCCATGCCCCAGCCCTCCTCTCTCCCCTTCTCCTGCCCTCTAACTACGGCCCTACTGTTCTGCTCCAGAAAACCAGGAGTATTTTGAGAAGCACCGGTGGCCGCCTGTCTGGTACCTAAAGGAAGAAGATCACTACCAGCGGGCACGGAAGGAACGTGAGAAGGAGGACTATCTTCACCTGAAACGGCAGCCCAAGCGGCGTTGGCTGTTCTGGAACAGTCCGTCCTCACCGTCCTCTTCTGCGGCCTCCTCGTCGTCCCCATCTTCCTCCTCGGCTGTGGTCTGAGACGCTGCCACCCTCTCCTGATCCCGCTGCTGTTCTCCCCACTCGCCTTCGCCCCTCTGCTCTTCTGCATCGCCCCCTCCACCTCCCAGGGACAAGGGGACCCGCGTAACCAGGACCCTAAGGGCAGGGCTGTTCTCACCAGCCAACGCAGCTCAGCAAGAGAGGAGGGGGGCCTTGTGGATCAGGACAGGGACCCCTGCGGGGGTCCCCAGTTCCAAAGCAGGGCAGGAGGCGGACGATTGCTGGGAGGTGGGGAGCAGGGAAGGAATGGAGAGCTCTGGCATCTGACTCTGGGTTGGAGAACGCTGGCACCCGAGCGAAACTCTCCCGGCCATGAGGCTATGTGTCTTGGTCTGCGGAGGCGGCCCCCTCCCAGGACGCGGCAGCGCGCAGGGAAGGTCCTGTCTCTCTTGGCCACTTTTTTCCATCAATGGACCTGAGGGTTGCAGATGTTTTGTGGGCATTTCCACACGGCGCCTACTCAGATCCTCACTGGAGAAGTCAGGGTAGAAATTAAGCCTTCAGCCCAACTCCAGGCTTCCACATCCTGGGGTGCAGCTGCCGAGGCCACAGGTGGAAGGCTTGCACTCTGCAGCCATCCTGCCCTCCCTAGGCGGTAGGCGTCTGGGCCTGATAAAGGATGGCAGAGACTGTTCAGAGCTTCAGGCCTCAGAGCCGTGCCTCTTGGTGCAGTGGGAAACCTCTCCCTCCCCCATCCCTCCCCACTCAGATCCTGAGGTGGGAACCAAAGGAAACAGCTGGGACAGGGGGAGAGGAGAACGTGGGTGGTGGGGTCTGGGCGCAGCAACCCCAGGCTCTCCTGGGCTCCTCCTCCTGCCTCTGGTTAGCATGGCTTCTTAGCACGGTGGGGCCAAAGTAGCAAAAACAAAAAAACAACCCCCCAAACAACAACAAAATCACCACCAACCAAAACACTTTAGCCTCTCTATTCCCTCAAAGGAAGAAAAATACAAGAAGATCCTGTATAGCTTACGCACAGGGGCCTCCATGTTTGATGACATAGAAGTTTAGGTTGTGGAATTGATTCAGTGCCTGTCAGGCAAGGACTTGTCACCGGCTGTGACTGAGGATGCCCTGGCCCTGCAGGCTTGCTCAGAGGACAGCAAAAATTCTGACTTAACATGCTGGGATTGAGGCTTCAGGGGCAGGGGCGGGGTGGTCTCAGGGCTCAAACGTGGCATTGGACCCCTACTTTGCCCATCTTGAGAATCAGTTATCCCCCTCGACTTCAGAGAGTGACTTCACAGGATGTGAATGTGTTGGGGGTCAAAGGTCAGGGGAAAGGACACCAACTTGGAGAATAGGAGTCCCTGTAATGAAGGAGCACAGGACATAACCTCACTTAGCGGTGGTTTGGGGTAAAAGGGAAGGAGGGGGCAAAGCAAGGTCAGTCCCAGGAAGAGGGGGACAAGACTGGAGGATTGTGGGGGTTAAGACAGCAGCTTGCAGCTCCATGGGGAAAAGCTGGGCCACAATTGACCTCTCCCTATTTCGTGATCCTGACCCATATTTCACCCCCCACACCATTTTTAGACTTAAAAGTCAGAGTCCCGCTGATGATGGGTGGAAGCCTGGGGTGGGCTCCACCAGCAAGACCCTGGCTTTAGGTCTGGGATCAAGCAAACCCAGAAACCGAGGAAAAGTCTGCAACAGCTTTGTGGTGCCAAGACCTAGAGATCTGATGGTAAGTCATCAGGAGAAGAAGCAGGACGTGGCAGGTCTGGAGTGGCCATGACCTCTGTTGTCTGAGCTGCAGACTTCTCCAGAGCCACGGCTGCCTCCCCTTCTCTAGGCTGGCTGGCTGGCAAGCCAGACCTGTGCTCCTGCCTGCTGAGTTCTCACCCTTGGCTTCAGGGCGAGGTTGACTTGATGAGTCAACGAGCAGGGGCAGGAGGGAGTGTGCAAGGGGGGTGCAACTCTGCACCTTGGCTCTTGGAGAAGGGAGCCAGAGGTGGGGCCCGGGGCCTCCCAGGAACTCTTGATGAGAGGGAGGACAGAGACCTCACGTCCAAGGGGAGGGGAAATGGGTGTCTGCGAGCTTGCAGGGCTGAGCAGTGTGGCCCACTGATGAGGATGCAGGAAGGCCAAGGGGAGGGAAAGTCAGGGTGGCCCAGGAGGTGCAGGAAGCCCACAGCAGAGGAGCCACAGGACCACCCCAGCAACCAGGGTGGGCTCACCCCTCAGGGACCCGCTGCCTCTTCCTAGCTGCTCTGTGGGAACCCAGCAGGCCCAGGGGCAAGCCAGAGATGCCACCTGGGGAGGCTTGGGGGAGCCAGACCAGGGCTAGTGTCCTCCCAGGGGGAAGGGAGGGAGGAGGGGCTTAATTCCAGTCCCCCAGGAGACAGGAAGGGCAAGTCACAGGAACACACACCCCTGTACTTGTGTCACTCAAAGCTGCTTTAGTGGAGACTGGGAGGGTGGGGGAGAAAAAACACACACACCTCTTTTTATATAAGGTTTCATATTTAATTTGGTCATGAATTCATAAATACATGAGTATTTTGTACCTAATGGCCTTCCTTGTATTGTTTGATATTGTCCAACAACCTCTTCAAAGGTGGCACCTTCCCCTGGAGAGAAGCACGAGAGAACACCAATCACTAATCGTATCAAGTGCCTATTGAGCGCCAAGTGCCATTTGGACTGGATCGGCTTCGTCCTCTGACGCAGCTTACCTTAAATGAGTAAGCATGACAAACACTGATGAGGCTAATCCTTTGGATGGGCGCTCAAGTCCTCTTGGGAAAGGGACGGGTGAGCTGAACCTTGACTGACAAAAATTCCTGGCTCCTCCTGAAGATACAGTGCCCCACACAGAAGGGACAGCAGAGGCAGGAAACACTCGCGTCTTTCAGGAAAGGGAAGGGACAGGGCGGGGCCTCTGGAAGGAAGTGGGAGAGAGACAAACAGCAAGGCTGTGAGGGTTGTGCCCCCACAGAACTCTACTAGAACACCGAGACCCTGAAAGTGCCCAGACGTTCAGGCGATTCCACTTTGGGTCCAGCCATACCAGTCTGGGGACACACAGACCTTTGAGATGGAAAAAACCAAGAGCCCCAAGCATGACCTCTATAACATTATCCCGCCATGACTGGAATATAGATATGCTGGAAGTTCTGGAGAAGGAAAATGGGCCTGAAGGGTTACTCCTGTGACCTGCAGTGACACATGACATAGAACCTATTTGCCGCTCAGATCTAACCCATCCCCCGCCCCCACCCCATCCATAGGTGAGAAGGAGGCCCACGCCTGACTGCCCTCAGTGTGTTTGGGAGCACCCAACACAGGGCTGCATGTGGATACCACTTCCCCTCACTCTCCTTACTTGGAAACATCTGCCTAGAAATAACATAAATACTCATACAGCCACAAAATTATCATGTTGAAAAGAGTGGGCACTTTAGAAGTTTATGGTCGTCTAATCCTGGAAGGCGCTAACTGGGTAAGAGGGAGCACCGAACCCACCAGTGCCATCCCTAGAAGTGGGCTTTTTCAACCTCCCCCTTTGTATTCCTCCTCATTTCATGGTGGCCTCCTCCCATTCAGGTGACTTGGGTAATCCAGCTAATGAGTACATTTCAAAAGGTTCTTCATGCTCATAGAAATCTATACAAAAATATAAAAACGGAAGACACACACCTTGTAGCCTTAATAGTTACACATAAGTAAATGCACACATCCGACATGACTGCATCTTACAATATAATAAATGCAAGTAAAACGTGCAACGCTGTTAGGAGGACAAAGTGCCACGAATTGAAAAGAATGCCACCCTAAAACAACTCGCAGTGCACATGCAAACTTGAGCTGGCATTCCTTGGAGATACTGCAGGTTCGCTTCCAGACCACCCGGATAAAGCGACGATCACAATAAAGCGAGTCAAATGAATTATTTGGTTTCCCAGTGCATCCAAAGTTATGTCTACACTATACTGTAGTCTGTTGAAATGTGCAATAGCATTATGTCCAAAACGATGTATTCATTAAAAAATACCTTATTGCTAAAAAATGCTAACCATCATCCACGCTTCCAGCGAGTCATAATCTTTTTGCCGGTGGAGGGTCTTGTCCCTATGTCGGTGGCTGCCGACTGATCAGGGCGGTGGTTGCTGAAGGTCGGGGTGGCTGCGGCAATTCCTGAAGATAATACAATGAAATCTGCCGTGTTGATCGAGTCTTCCGATTTCCCTGCAGCCCGCCATGCTGTTTCATAGCACTTTACTCACAACAAAACTTCTTTCAAAATTGGAGTCAAGCCTCTCAAACCCTGCCGCTGCTCTATCAACTGAGTTTATGTCATGTTCTGACCCCTCTGTTGTCATTTCAAGCATCTTCACAGCATCTCCACCAGGAGTGGCTCCCACCTCAACAAACCATAGTCTTTGCTCATCCGGAAGGAGCAACTCCTCATCTGTTCAAGTCTGCTCACGAGACGGCGGCAATTCAGTGCCATATCCAGGCTCCTCTTCCAGTCCCGGCTCTCTCGCCGTTCCCCCCGACACACACTCACAGACACCTCCGCCACCACAGTCCGGAAGCCCTCACGGTCCTCCATGGGGGCTGCGATCGAATTCTTCCAAACTTCTGTTCATGTTGCTATTTTGACCTCTTCCCGTGAGTCACGAATGATCTTAATGGCACCTAGAATGGTGACTCCTTTCCAGAAGGTTTCAATTTACTTTGCCCAGATCCATCAGAGGAATCCCTGTCTGCGGCAGCCATAGCCTTACAACATGCATTTCTTAAATAATAAGACTTGAAAGTTGAAATGACTCCTTGACCCATGGGCTGCAGAATGGATGCTGTGTGAGCAAGCACAAAGACCACGTTCACCTCGTCGTCCATCTCCATCAGCGCTCATGGGTGACCCGTGCACTGTCAGCGAGCAGTGGACTTAAAACACTCAGTGAGCAGAAGTGTGGTCATTCAAGCTTTGTTGTTCCATGTACCGAGCACAGGCAGAGTGGATGGATTTAGCATCATCCTTATGGGCCCTCGGCCTTCCAGAATAGTAAATGAGCACTGGCTTCACTTGAAGTCACCAGCTGCCTGTCCTTTGAAGCTTTGAAGCCAGGCATTGACTTTGCCTCTGTAGCTGTGAAAGTCCTAGGTGGCATCTTCTTCCAACAGAGGCTGTTTCACTACGTTGTAAACCTGTTGTTCAGTGTCACCGTCCTCATGAATCATCTGAGCCGGATCTTCTGGAGAACCTGCAGCAGCTTCCACATCAGCTCCTGCTGCTTCGCCTTGCACCTTGATGTCACGGAGACAGCTTCTGTCCTCAGACCTTGTCAACCAACCTCTGCCAGCCTCAAAAGTTTCTCCTGCAGCTTCCTCACCTCTCTCAGCCTTCACGGAATTGAAGAGAGTCAGGGCGTGCTGGATTAGGCTTTGGTTTAACAGAATGTTGTGGCTGGTTTGATCTTCTATGCAGACCACCCACATTTTCTCAGTAACAGCAACAGGGCTGCTTCGCTTTCTTATCATTCGTGTGTTCACCGGAAAGCACTTTTAATTTCCTTCAAGAACTTTTCCTTTGCATTCACAACCTGGCTAACTGCTCGGTGCGAGAGGCCCAGCTTTTGGTCTATCTCAGCTTTCGACGTGCCTTCCTCACTAAGCTTAATTAATCATTTCTAGCTTTTGATTTAAAGTGAGAGACATGTGACTGATACTTTCACTTCAACACTTAGAGGTCATTTTGGGGTTATTAATTGGCCTAATTTCAATAATGTTGTAAGTCAGGGAATATGGAGGTTCAAGGAGAGGAAGACAGATTGGGGAAAGGCTAGCTGGTGGACCAGTCAGAAGACACACACCATTTACTAATTGAGTTCACAATCTTATATGGGTGCAATTCGTGGCACCCCAAAATAATTACAGTAATAACATCAAACATTACTGATCGTAGATCACTATAACAAAATTAGTAATAATGAAAAGGTTTTAAGTATTGCAAGAGTTATCAAAATGTGACACAGAGATACAAAGTCAGAAAATGCTATTGAAAAACTGGTACCAATAGACTTGCTCAACTCAGGGTTGCCACAAAACTTCAGTTTGTAAAAAATGAAATATCTTTGAAGTGCAATAAAGGGAAACATGGTAGAATAAGGTATGCCTATAACTATAATCCACATAGAATCTTACTGTACACATTACCACAGTTCACTTATCACACTCAACATTTCATAAAAATTATTCCAAGCACATTGAAAAAGTTCTAGAATATTCCAAGAGCTGTATGGTTTGTTTGTTTTAATTTAAATTTTAGTTATCATACAGTACAATATTGGTTTCAGGAGTAGAATTCAATAATTCATCACTTCCATACAACACCCAGTGCTCATCACAACAAGTGCATTCCTTAGTACCCATCATCCATATAGCCTATCTTCCACTCACCTCCCCTCCATCAACCCTTAGTTTGTTCTCTATCATTAAGAGTCTCTTGTGGGGACACCTGGGTGGTCCAGTTGGTTAAGCATCCAACTCTTAATTTTGACTCAGATCATGATCTCACAGACCATGGGTTAGAGCCCCAAGTTGGGCTTTGTGCTGGGCTCTGTGCTGATGGTGCAGAGCCTGCTTGGGATTCTCTCTCTCTTTCTCTCTGCTCTTCCCCTGCTGGTGCACATGCACTAGCCTGCTTTCTCTCTCTCTGTCTCAAAAATAAATAAACATTTTAAAAAGAGTCTCTTGTGAAGAGCTGTATGCTTTTGAATTAGAATTTCTTCAAGTATTCATCAAGTATCTGCTCTTTCTTCCAGGCTGGTGTCCACTTATACTTCCCCTTCAAGTAGAAAAGGCAAAAAGGGAAGCTCAGATTCTTAAAAAGAGTCTTTCCACTCAGGACATGGCAGAGCCTGTCCCGCCTTCTTCATAGATGCACTTTCTGGGGCCTACCAGGCAGTCCTGGATTCTCTGCAGTAGGGTGTTGATTGAAACATCCTGCCTTGTTTTGTTGAGCCAGGTCACCAGCATTTCATACAAGGCACCCTGCATGCCTAAAGTAAGAGCCCTGGCCGCAGGGATCTCATTGTCCTGGAGGTCCATCTGCCGCATGAGTAGTTTCCAGGAATTAAAGAACACAAGTTTGGAAAGTCATCAGAGATGAGTTTCAGCCTAGGTTGGGTGAAAGCCACAGAGACAGTGAGTTGGGACACATTTCAGAAAGGACAGATGATGTGCAGTCAAGCCTAGACCCAGGAGTGGAACCTAATGAGCTCCCCCTGCTGGTGAGCCTGCTGTTCTGCATTCCTTATGGGCATCCCATCAGCAGAAAATCAGGCCACACTGCCTGGGCCTCACCTGAGCAGGAGGCCCTGGGGGAGTCAAGGTCAACAGATAATCTTGCCCTAAGGCAGGGCTGATTGCCCATCTGGGAGGATAGATGGGTTATGGAGTGAGAAAGCAGAATGTGGTAAGAGTCAGAGGGTAGGACAACCTGTGGGAGCAACAGGTCCTCAAAGGAGGGAAACTACATGGATCGTGAGAGGGAGGTCCCAGGACTGCACCGGCACCTGTGCACAGAGCTGACACCACACTCTGAACCTGTGCTAAGGGACGCTCAGCACCCCTGCCTGACACCTTCCATGCTCCAGAGTGCAGGGCTGTAGGGTGAAGGTGTTTCACAAGCATGAGGAAGGACATGGCTCAGCATGGCCAACCGGCCAGGGGGCTGGTCCCAATGGGCCAGGTGCCCTCATACAGCCAGCCAGAGCCCCCAGGCCACTTTAGAGAGCCAGGGTCAGTGCAGGACAGATGAGGCCTGCATCCACCCAGGACCTTATTGTGGGCAGCAAGCAGATCCTGACAGTCTCATGCCAACGGGTCCTGGAGAAACTAACTCACTCTGTCTGTGCGCTTGGGGTCCACTTCACAGCCTAGAAGACAGGGGGCATTCACCTTAGCAGAGGGGAGGGCCCTCTCTGCCTCATCTCTCTCCACAAAGATGGTGGGAGGACATGGTATGGGCTGGGGCCTCAGACACTGAACAAGGAGCCCCTGGGACCTGGTGACAGGGAGGGGCATTCCAACTCTGGTGAACCCTTAGGGAAGGGAGAGAAAAAGGGGGGAGGGATGAAGTGAAAATAAACACAAAATCTGTTGGGTTCTGCTCTGACCAAAGCTGTATAAGCCCCCGACCCTTTCCTCCTGACTCTTGCCACTCATTCAAGATACTGACTACCTCTCTGTCCCAGCTGGGGGCCCTGAAGACCTGAGGAACCAGCTTGCCATCCTGGATGTGGTCGGGGAGCTAAGGTGAGCATGAACCTGAGACAGAGCTGGTGGTGGGCAGCCTCAGGCCAGTGGTCACTGGCTCCCCATGGGCCAGGTACTGGACTCTTGATTGACACACTTGAGGTTGCTCCTGAGGGTGCAGGGACTGTCCTGGACCATCCCATCGGGCACCTGGGTACAGGCACAGGGAGGGGATCCGCAAGGGAAGGCTGGAAAGCTGAGGAGGAAGGGGGAGCAAGCTCCAGGGGCCCAGTGTCCCTGACAAGAGAGTGGGGGCAGAACAGCCTGGAGGGCCGGGTCCCCTCACTCCCCCTGTTTGGGTGGGGAGGGATCTGGGCCTGCGCGCCTCAATCCCTAGGGCCCTGTTAAGTGTTCAGAGTTGCACCTTCAGGAGCTGGGCTTCCTTTCAAGACCTACATGGAGCTTCCCTGGGCTGTAGGGGGGCCCCTGTGAAGGGGAATCTGTCCAGGTCAGGGATCAGAAGCCCCTTTGTTCCCAAGCTGAACCCCATCCTCCAGTCAGCCTTAGTGCAGGAACTTCTTGTCCCCCACCCGTTGACTGTTCCTACAATCACAGCCAGAACTGCAGTGTCAGAGAAGAACAATTACACTTTGCCCCTGAATCCAAAAAGTGGGGAAGAGACGCATCTTAAAGAGGGAAGGGGGCCTGGGACGAGGAAACTTTGGGAGCTACAAGCTTGGTCCTACTATGACTTTGTAGGCTGTGGCCACGTTTGTCCTCGTCGGCCTTCTCCTGAATAATGAAGTGTTAAAAATGAATCTTCTGATTGAATTGAAATAAAGATGAACATAAACCAGGTCATACTCTATTCAATTTTTTGCTTCATATTTCAAAAGGAAATAAATCATCAAGTGCCCTAAGAAGCGGTCTACTGTGCCCAGTGGAAAACTCAACTGGCCAGGAGGAAAAGGTGCTGAGGAGGTGTGGGAAGGTGCCACTGCTGGGGGCAGTGTGGGGCCATGCAAAAAAAATGGACAGACAGGGGCCACTGCAGGCTCAGGGAACAGGGAGGTTCTGAGGGGATGGCAGGGCTGCATGAAACCAGGATGGAGAAAGGGGTACAAGGAAACTCGGGTCTTCTGTGGGTTAAGAGCCCCTGAGGCCCCCACATCTCACCTAGTGAGCACTTCTGACAGAACTCAGGAGAATCTTTTCCAAGAAGAGTAACCAGGTTTGCATGGACACTCCATGCCTGTGGTCCTGCTGCATGGATTTAACCGTCTCATCTAGAGACAAGGGATAAATATTTGGTGACATGTTTCCCTCACGACCCTCAATCCTTCATCACCACTCAAACCCTCTTCCACTCAGCTTGACTCAGTTGACCAAGTAATTTGAGGGAGCCATTTTCTGCAGCAACATACATGGGGCACACAAAGGACAATCACCACTCACCTGTCACTAACAGATGTATAAAAAGTACGACTCTTCATTATTTATTACATCAGGATTGGGGTGAAAAATCTGTTAGATCACAGGATCGGTAGCAAGAGATGGGGCTCCAGCTGGAAAGGAGACCTTGGGTGGCTTCCCCAAGCCCAGCCCTACTGGAGAGGCACAGGGCCCTGGGCTGTGAAGGCAGAGAGAGCCCCGCACCTGCCACAAGCACAAGGCAAGGGGCTAAGTGGGGCCTGGCCCAGACCCAGGCCCACCTCATAGCTCAAACCTAGCACTTTTCCACTTGGCCAGGCCTAGCTGCACCTATATAGCTCCAATGATGAGCTCTGTCCAGCTGATGTTCTAGAAGATTTCCCTACCAGGAGGCATGCGTTATAAAAGTAATTTCTGTTTTTATTTTATTTTATGGAGCTAATGCATCACTCTATAACAGGGCATGATGGAGACCCAGTTGGAATCCAGGTTTCAGGTTGGCCATGACTGCCATGCAATTACCACCTTGCATCCACCTCTGGGCGTGGGGCCCACAGGTTCTGTGCCTGAGTGACATATTTGCAGGGCATGCAGAAAAGGGAGTATTCGAACAATTGGTAAAACCCACTCCTTGTGTGCATGTGTTACAATCTCTCTTCTCTTCTGATGCATGGGTCCGGGAAGGAGGGGAAGCTGGTGAATGAATCCCCACA